CATATAAAACTTATTTGTAGATCTTACTTTGATGAACATATTTGCTGTTTACAGTTTATCTTTATCATTAATACTATTCAAAATAATAACCAAAAACTGCAAAATTTCCTTAAATTACCAATTTAGTGGCAGCAACCCAACAATGGGTTATTTGATTCATCTGAAAATTTCAGGGCTGATAGAACTTCACCTAATGAACACTTTTACCCCTGTCAGATTTGTTCTTACTCCTTTGGTTTTTTAGATATAAGCCAAAAACTGCATTTTTACCCCTATGTTCTATTTTTAGCCATGGTGGCCATGTTTTTTTGACGAAACTAAAAAATAAAACACAGACTTTATTTTAGATACCCTAAGGATCATTCAGCTTAAGTTTGGTTGGAATTGGTTCAGTAGTTTCAGAGGAGAAGATTTTTTAAAGTTAGAAAACATGATAAACAAATTGTGTAAAATTGTCCTTAAAGGGCAATAACTCTTTAAGGGGTCAATTGACAATTTTGGTCATATAAAACTTATTTGTAGATCTTACTTTGATGAACATATTTGCTGTTTACAGTTTATCTTTATCATTAATACTATTCAAAATAATAACCAAAAACTGCAAAATTTCCTTAAAATTACCAATTTAGTGGCAGCAACCCAACAATGGGTTATTTGATTCATCTGAAAATTTCAGGGCTGATAGAACTTCACCTAATGAACACTTTTACCCCTGTCAGATTTGTTCTTACTCCTTTTGTTTTTTAGATATAAGCCAAAAACTGCATTTTTACCCCTATGTTCTATTTTTAGCCATGGTGGCCATGTTTTTTGACGAAACTAAAAAAATAAAACACAAACTTTATTCTAGATACCCTAAGGATCATTCAGCTTAAGTTTGGTTGGAATTGGTTCAGTAGTTTTAGAGGAGAAGATTTTTTAAAGTTAGAAAACATGATAAACAAATTGTGTAAAATTGTCCTTAAAGGGCAATAACTCTTTAAGGGGTCAATTGACAATTTTGGTCATATAAAACTTATTTGTAGATCTTACTTTGCTGAACATATTTGCTGTTTACAGTTTATCTTTATCATTAATACTATTCAAAATAATAACCAAAAACTGCAAAATTTCCTTAAAATTACCAATTTAGTGGCAGCAACCCAACAATGGGTTATTTGATTCATCTGAAAATTTCAGGGCTGATAGAACTTTACCTTATGAACACTTTTACCGCTATCAGATTTGCTCTAACGGCTTTGGTTTTTGAGATATAAGCAAAAAACTGCATTTTACCCCTATGTTCTATTTTTAGCCATGGCGGCCATTCAGCTAAAGTTTGGTTGGAATTGGTTCAGTAGTTTCAGAGGAGAAGATGTTTGAAATAGTTTACACCAGACAGACGACGACGACGGACGACGACGGACGACGACGGACGCCAAGTGATGGCTAAAGCTCACAGTTTCTTCGGAACGGTGAGATAAAAATGAATTTTGCCCTATCCTGAGGTTTGTTGAATGAAAAGTGGAAAGTAGCTAAAAAGGGTGAAATTTATTGATCAGCTGTTTATATTTTATATATCATTTTCATCATAGTTTCTGCTTACAAAAGATTACTAAATTTGAAATGCAAAACTTGTCACTCTGTAAAAAATACTACATTTACATCATATAGAATACCAGTTCAAAGAAAAGTATTGTATTGCCTTTGCCCAAAAGGTCCCTTTCATCTTTTGTTATTGAGTACTAATTAACATTTTCTTTTCTGACTCTAAAAGCTCGTGTAAGACAGTCATCTAAAACGACGAAGACAAATAGACTAACATTCTTTTAAAACATTAATCCTGGCCTCTTTTTTGTCATTGTTTTAGATGTTCAAGATAATTGCAATCTTCGTCGACAGTTCCAGGAGATACAAACCCATTTGTACTTTGAATTAACAAATATTAACTTCTTGATAAGACTTCTACAGGCAAGATGATGAAGATTTGTATAGAAAATCATGTTTGTTATATTGAATACTTAGAATTGACCAGATGGGGGAAAATCATTTGGTGTATTTCCAATTACAGAAAGAGCGAGAGAATTTCCAATGTTTGACTTTTTTTTAACTTTTTTGGTGATTAGGGAACAGAACATGCAGTCAAACTATCGTGAATTTTGTATAGTTTGTGTAGCTGTATGAAAATATGTACAAGACGCAATTTGAACAATTTTCATAAACTGAAATTGTGTATCTTGAGTTTATATATTTAATCATGTTCTTGTGAAAGGCTTAATTCTTGACTTCTTCTGTCTGTTTTTGAATATCTTTATTGTTTATTGGTATTTTTAATACATCTATACTGTTTATACAGAAAATTGCACCGATTTTTTCACCGAAATTGATATATAATAATTTTATACAGTGTCGAAAAATAAAATATGATTTTATACATTTAATTCTTTAATTGATGAATAAAGATGTATCAAAATGCAATAGTTATCATTATGTCGTGTTTGAGTAATGGATGATATGCATTGTTCCTGTCCGTCTTTTTACAGAATCTTCAAGTTTCAACAAGGAATTTATTCACTGAATTTAAAAAAGAGGCACAGACAAATGCCGAGTTGGAATTCTGGACACAAATTGAACAGATGAGAGGAGAATACAACTATCCAGAGGAAGAAGTTTTTATCTGTGATATAGATGAAAGTGAGTAAGGGAATGCATTACACTGAAAAAAGGACATCTCCCAAATAAAGAAACACGAAAATGCAGTTGAAATGAACACATTGAATTAGGAACATCGGTCAAAATCAAAACATCTGCTTAAAGTTACGAAATTCTTGGTAAATGCATCTGTTATCTTCATTTTTTGTCTTTTTTTTTAATTTTATTTAGCAAACTCATTAAATTAGCATTACATTGTAAAAGTTAAAATTTAAGAACCCACAGTTCTGCATATTTTTCCTGTGCATGGAACAAAAAAATATGCAAATGAATATCAGTTTTTTCAAGTATTTTTCCATATATTTAAGATGAAGTAAAGACAGATGAAGCCGGTAACGTTCAAACTGGAACCGATTCTGAACAACTGGATGAATCCAGCAACGAACAAGATGAAACCGGTAACCAACAAGATAATTTCTATAAGGAAACAAGATGAAACGGGAAAAGAAAAAAGTGACGAACACAACAAAAAAAGCTGAGACAGCAACTAAGAAACAGGACATCACACAGAAAACTGTTGGTAAGTTTTCAATAGCAACATCATCTGAATCCATGAAAATTACGCGATATGTTTTTCAGGTCAAATTATTACTTTCATACATTCCGGGTGAAACAATTGATATTCAGTTACTTTAATCAAACGGTAAAAAGCAAATCTGATAGATTCACTACAAGTAGCACCCTGCACTGTTCTAATCCACGGATTAAAATCTTAGTGCAAATCCCATACAGCAATGACTAAAGGTTAACGCATGTGTATAACCTTTGACAGCAGTAGCTATCTGAGTTAACAATTTTAGTGCCTGTACAATGTATGATTTTAAAAATTTAAAAGGTTACTTAATGATTTCATTTTCAAAGCACAATATTAAGATTCTTTAATAGATATATTTCCATTCATAGTTAGTTTTTAAATTTTTCAATATATGAGCTGCGTCGGATAGAAATTGACCTTATGCAAGTGCACGTATACATGTACATGTAGAAGACTTTGATTGATTATGGATCATTCAAATACGAAATAAAAGATGAATGTTCATCTGTTTTGTAGGGTTCAATTTTCAAACAGTTACAGACTTTACATAGAGATTTTTCAACTCGAAATAATGTTTTATTCATGTATATAATTGTCGACTGTTTAGTTCCCATAGAGTCTAGCGACAGTCCTCCTTGGATAGCAAGTGAAACTGTTATATATTTACATAAGTAAACGCTGACGAAACATCAGTAATCCGATACATTTTCACCACACGTAAGTTTTACAGTAGACCTAAATACGAGCACTTGTATACCAATGTTTCTATTAAATATTATTACAAGGTATTGTTTGGTGGTGTATCAGGAAACAAGAATTATAGTTGGATAAAAAAATCCCGTTTGTTTAATTGATAAAACTGTGGCGTCACACTATTTCAAAAAGACTAATTATTGACAACCAAACCGACTTCATGAATGGCAATTGCTTAATCTGAGTTTAATTCTTTAAAATAATCAGAATAAACAGATATTTGAACAGGAACAGTCAAGCTGAAATGGGCAATGTTATGAACATAGTCCGTTTATATGTATGTTGGCGTTTGTTTTTGTAGCAGTTCGATGTTTCTGTTGTTCCGTTTTGTTTCCTCTTATAGTTGATGTGTTTCCCTCAGTTTTGGTTTGTGACCCGGATTTGTTTCAGTTAAATCGGTTTATGACTATTGAACAGCGGTATACTACTATTGCCTTTATTTATGGTAAAACTTCTCTTGTGTTGAATTTTACTCATTTTTGTCTACTAGATTATTATTAAGAAATATGTTTTAAGATCTCCTCTCCGTAAACCTCGTGAAAATTCCCATCCAAACTTCATGATAATCCAAAATTTCCTTTTAACTTTTTAAGGCGACTGATATTACTACAAATAGATCTGACGATAAATTTTACTGCAAAATGACATTGAATTTCAAACTAGAAAAACTTGTCTGATACTATAAAAAAAAAGAGGCGGAAAATCAATTGTTCTACGGCCATGAGTTCCTTACCTTGTTTTGGCGGCCTTTGTGGTGATATTTGGGTTTATGGCTATTGAACTTTTGATAATATCTGACGTCCAATATTTCATTTAAAGCAGTACTGACGAATAATAAAATTTGAAATTTGCTTACGGCATATCAAATTTATTTTGGTATGTATCGTGATTTTACTGTTGTTATCGAGGGCCACATTTTTGAAAGGTGAGCGATACAGGTTTCCAATAGAGCCTCTAGTTTCTATTTCTTAAATGATATCGCGCAATTTGATAAATAAGATTTAAAACGTTTACTTAATTGTTTACAAGGCCCTCCACTCTATTTCACATCCACCAAAAGGAAGATCCTACATGGATAGATATATCTTTAAAGGTAACGTTTTCCCTTAATACATTTACATTTTTTTTATATTGCGGAAGAATGGGGAAATACATAAACTCATTCATATCATAATAAAAATACGGAGATGTGGTATGATTGAAATGAAAAAAGCTATCTCCAGAGACAAAAGAACGAAGATATTTACAAATACAGGTCACTGTACGGTCTTCAACCATGAGCAGAATCCCAAACCGTATAATAAGCTATAAAAAGGGGCCGGCATGGCCAAACGGGAAACAACTCAAAAGAGAAAACCGACGGCTGGTGTATACTACAATAATTGCAAAAAACAATTACAGCAGGCAGCAACCAACGATAAACACTTGATAATACGCTCTGTTATTTTTCATACAGTGTGAGATTAAAACATCGAGTTGTTATATATTTCCGACAGAAAGACATTGAACTGGATATCCCTGATAAAAACGAAAGGAAAATTATGAAAGGGGAAGAAAAGAACAATGGATCAGGAACAAATAACTTATCCAAAGATTCTAAAAATAGAAGGCAGACGGAGGATAATCAAACTAAAAAGAAACAAACAACAGGTAAAACAAAAGTATGAATAGAAACAAATAACAGGTAAAACAAAAGTATGAATAATCGTTACGTCAATAATATCAGTTAAATAATTTATGTATACGCTTGAAAATGGGGAGGTGTGATATGATTCCCAATGAGATAACTATCTACTGGATACCAAAAGACAACGATGTGAACAATTACAGATCACAGCTCGGCCTTCAACAATGTGCAAACCCCCATACCCTAAGTAAACCATAAAGAGCCTTGAGATGACAAAATGTGAGACAATTCAAAAGAGAAAACCAACGGCCTTATTTATACTACAAAATAAAGTAAAGCGAAAAAAAATACAACAGACAGCAACCAACGACAACCACTGAATCATAGGCTCATAGTTTGTGATAGACACAAAGCGGTGTTAAACATGAACATGAGCGCTCAACCCTCCCCTACATAACAACATTCCTCTTGTGTACTAATTACAAGGGTCCATTGTAAAATTTAAGTGAATAGAAACTTATTCCTAAAAAGAAAATCGAATAACTTAATCTTTCGTAAATACCATGAAGAATGAAAACACTTATGTCTAAACAAGACAGCGTGGATTTGAAATTCACGTAATGCAGTTGTTTTGGCCTAAAAAGTTTTGTTTCTTTTCAGATGGACTGAAAAAGGCAAAAAAACAACCTTCCAAGATTTCATCAGTTTACTGTTGTCATGTTATGCAGGCTAAATCACGCATCAGTGTTTAGAGTAACATTTAAACCTTATTTTTTTATCTGGTCGTAGAGTACAAAATACGGTGTAGAATCTTTGAGTTGTCACTTTCTTATCATATATTCTCAGGAATTGCACTCTTGGAAAACTCTAATCCGGGCAACAAAAAAAAAAAAAAAAGAATGCGAAGCTATTGACTTTGCAAAATTATTATTTCCAGCCTGCAGTAAATAAATGATGGACAGGAACTTGGTATCCGAGGCATCGGAGTTCATTCCTATTTTAGTAACATTTTTGTTCCAGTTTAGGAAGCTCACAATTACTGAAAGCAAGTTCAATGCACTTATCTTGCTGTTACGAAATCATACCGGCGTACACTCTAATACTGGTTGCTGTACTTTATTGGAGATATTAAAAGCTGCGTCATGAAAAATAGAGGAAGGCACCCCCTTGTGCCTAGAATAAACTATACAGAAATAGAAAAGAAACATTCTAGAAACATTTTTGTATTGCTTCAAAACACTATACTTTAATAAGCGAATGGATGTCTATCACAAAGAATACCAGACGCAGTAATTAAATAGCAACAGTATACTAGTAATCATGAAATAAGAAGATTTGGTACGGTTGACAAAAACTATCCACCAGAGACCAACTGGCTAAGTTTTAAGCAATTTAAACGGTTTTGCTTTTTTTGTTTAGGTCCTTTTAATCTTTATGCTCTCAGAAGTTCAAAGATATAGTTTGGTTTTTCAAACTTTTAGTCTAGAGCGAACGACAAAAATTAGAAGATGTGGTATAATTGCTAATGAACCAACTTTCCTCAAGACACCAAACGACGTATTTATAAATAACTATAGGTCACCGTACAAGTTATTCAAGAAACTTGTATTGTAGAATTGAGAATGGAAATAGGGAATGTGTCAAAGAGACAACAACTCGACTAAAGAGCAGAAAACAGCCAAAGGCCACCAATGTGCCTTCAACACAGCGAGAAAATTCCGCACCCGGGGGCGGGCTTCAGTTGGCCCCTAAGCAAAAATGTGTACTACTTCAGTGAAAATGGACGTCACACTAAACTCCGAAACATATAAATGAACCAAAATTTAAAAAAAACATACAGGACTAACAAAGGCCAGAGGCTCCTGACTTGGGACAGGCGCAAAAATGCGGCGGAGTTAAACATGTTTTGTGAGATCTCAACCCTCCCCTATACCGGTACCACTAGCCAATGTGGAATAAACAAACACACAGCAATACGCACAGTAAAACTCAGTTCAAAAGAAGTCCGAGTCCGATGTCAGAATATGTAACAGAAGAAACAAAGCAAAATGACATTGATACATCAATTAGGAAAGGACTACTAGCAGTAACTGACATGCCAGCTCCAGAACTCAATTAAACTGATTGAAAGATTATGTCTTCATCACATGAAAATCAAGCACAATCCCTCCCGTTAGGGGTTTAGTATAATACCATCATAAAATGTACGAGAAGAATATAACCCGTGTCATGCCATCAACTGGTTTTAGAATAAATGTGTTTATTTCCAATGCAAAGACCCTATGAGTGAAACAATATTAATACAAAAAAATGCCATCTTTAATGACCTGACAACAGTATCGTAACTATATCCCTTCTGAATAAGTCTTTAAAGGTTTGGTTACCTTTTGGGTTGAATGACGACATTGTTGTGCTTTATATAGAATATTACCATAAAAGATTGGATGTGAAATACCTGAACGTATAAGATGTATGCACGTTGATTTATATTTACGAATGATGTCCTTGTACCGATAAAATTTAGTAAAAGTTTGTGATATCGAAAACCCTGGTGTAATAATTTTTCAGTAATAAAGAGATTTATTTTCGTTAAAATCAAATACGTTGTTACATACACGAGCGAATCGAAAAAGTTGAGATATATAAACACCATAAGATGGTGACAAGGGAACGTCACCATCTAAAATTTGATAATTAACAGTCAGAAATGAAAAATCATCTCTATTACCTTAAATTTTGGTATTAAGCTTTCCGTTAAAGATATAGATATCAAGATCAAGGAAAGGACAGTGTTCATTGTAAGTATTAGCTTTATTTAAAGTCAGTTGAGCAGGATAAATCTCTTTAGTGTACAACTGAAGTCGTCATTATTGAGAGCCAATATATTATCAAAATATCTAAGTAGTGTTATTAGATTTTTGTATCAGATGTTGTTTCGATGGGTCTTTGCTGATTTTAGTCGTAAATTGTAACTCGTAACAATACAGAAACATGTCCGCAATAACTGGTGCACAGTTAGTTCCCATTTGAATTCCGATAACTTGACGATATACGGAATCTCCATCACGAACAAAAATGTTTTTTAGTAAAAATTCAAGTGCAGTTATCGTATCAAAGCAGGTCCAATTGACATAGTTCTTTTGTTTGTTGTTACTAAAAAATGACCTAAAAGAGTTTGAACATACATATTCGCATTCTGACTTTTTAAATGCTCAGGTGTGTGAATTTTTCCTTAATGAGATTATTAGGCAAAGTGGTATATAGGGTAGTAAAATCAAAGCTTTGAACAGATTCGAAATCACCAATATAAGCATGCAATTTATCAAGTTCTTCCAACGAATTTTTGACACTCCAAAAGTAATTAATTCCACTAATTTCAAAGGCCTTATTTGAACAATTTATTACCAGGTTTTTGATTGTACCAAGTGTACTAGTAGGTAGAATATACAGTTTAGTAGTGGAACAATGGCTTGAAGACGAAATAAATCTATATTTGTAAGGTATTTTGTGCAGCTTCGGAAGCCAGTACATAGTTGGAACTTTCATTGAATTCGGTTCTGTTATATAGATACAATGGATAAGCGTGGATTCTTGAAAAAGAAACCATGAGCCCGGAGGGCGAATTGTTTATTTTTCATGAATCTACGCTTATCCATTGTATCTATAACTTAAACTATTGTGTTAATTTCTTTTCAAAATTAAAGCCTTTTCTTAATAAGAAGGTTTGTAAGTGAGTTTAAATAACCATGTTATCATGTCCAACGATGCATTGATAAATCTCAGATCACAATTAATTGGTTTACAAAATACAAATATAACTACCTTTAAAGATCTTTATATTACCAGGCATATGAATATTATCTGTTTATACAAAATGAGACATATTCGAAATTATTTCTAATAAAATTGAAAATGGAAATGGGGAACGTGTCAAAGAGACAACAACCCGACCAAAAAGCATATATAAAGTATATATAATAAGTATGTTATCGAAATTTTCTAGCACTCTAGGCACATCACGATTTTCTCGCATAGGAATTTGCGAACAAACCATTGTAAAATTATGTAGTAAAACAGATGAAATCATACTATATTTATGAAACGAAAATTGACAAATAGAATGTAATCATTTTTGTTTGAAACATGTGAAATAGCCAATAATAATTAAAAAAAAAAAACGGTAAAACTCGCAATTATTACAAAAATATCCACTATAACATGCAAAATTAGAAAAAAAACAGGATAACGTAAGAATTGGAACAACAGAGATAATACAGGGATTCGAACCTAAACCGACAAATCCCTATCTTGAACTCATTGATTTTAACCATGCTAACCTCGCGGCTACCAACTCATACTATACGACTGCCTATTGTGTCTATATAAACGTACAAGCCCTGTGTGTCCGATGAACCGATGTATATCAGATGTTCATTTAAATATATAAAATAGACATCTATAGTATAACCCATTGGTAGCCGAGAGGTTTCGTCGATGTGTTGATGTCAGTCACACATAACAGATTTCAATGAAGGGTTCGATTCCCAGTGAAGGCATATAAAAATTACTAAAATTAAAGGTAAGTTTTTAAATTAATTCCATTAGTGAACAGAAATCAGTAAATTAGCCAATTCAAACTTAATGAAATTAGGCACACAAAGGAAACAATTGAATATAATTTGGTGAGTCAATTTCAGCGGCAGATTTAGGAAGCGTTGATTCTAGAAAAAGAATCCACGGTAAATGAATAGGCTGACGTCACCACAATGGTTTAAGCTTGTAGAGACGTAGCAAAAAGTTTATGTTTGTTACATATGTCATTTTCCGAAAATGGAGTCAGTTGGAATGTTGGTGAATTCCTGATTTCCTTTTGCAGAACCTCGATGTAAAATTTACGTCAAACAATAAGGATATTATTGGCAGCCTTATCAGCCGGGACAAAAACAAATTCCTTGGCGAGTTCTTTTAGCTTATGTTTGATACAAGAAATTGGGCTATTATGGTTGTTGTTAGGAGTAAAATGTTCTTTAAAATGTTTAATACGAATATCAACTATGTTCATTACTGAATTAAAAAAAGAGTCTAAGGATTTTTTGTCAGCTTTTTCTCGTTTTATCCATTTCGTGCAGTAAGTACGGAGTGAGTCGACACTCATTCCAATTAATAATTGACGGGGGAAGATATTTAGGTCCTTAAAGTTTGCTGAGGAATTATTTCAACTCTCGGTCATGGACGATGTTAAGGTCTCCTGTTATGACATGGGAACTGGGGTAATAAATGTATTCGGAAATACTGCAATATCATGACGTAGGTGTATTGTCACTGATATTAACATCTTTACACACTTCGCCTTAATCAAGCACATATTCCCTGGTAGATTTTTTTGTAAACATAACAAAGGGAGCTCAGTATTATCAAAATAGCCAGAAATTTGTTCTTTAACGGAATGATCATTAAAAATACCGGCAATATTTACAAAATCAAAACCTTTATTGACATATTTGATCTTAATGAAATGTTTTTATGATCTTCAGGGCGCATAGAAATCAGTATAATTTCTTTTTTTTACTGCATAACCCTTGAAAATGACCAAGAGTCTAAGCTTCTAATGATATACACCGTTACATTATGCTCACCACCCAGGGAAGTTATTAACGATTTAAATTCATATATTATAAATTGACAATTCAATATAGTTTTTGCTAAATACGCCTGTCGTTAGCTTTGTTCACGCACACATACACACATTCTTTCACTTTCACTTTCACTTTCACTTGCATTTGCATAACATACTTTAATTTGTTTTTTGAAAAGAAAATTGTTATCTTGGCAATGATCTGCTCGTCATAAACATATTTTATTCATTGTAAATCATTATTTTATATCAAAGATTGAATCAAAAGTAACTGATGTTAATTAGTAAAAATGCAATCTACTGGGGGCCAACATTTTTCAAAAAGTGTGTGGTATCATTTTCTTTTCTATATAATGGTCATTTGCCTGGTATTTTCTTTAAGATAAGAATTAAACATCTGCCTGTTTTCTGTTCAGATGAACATGATCTCATACATGTATAATGTGGTATACAATATAAAACAAACTAATTCAAGTTGGAGGCGAGAAATGTCAATTTGGAAGGGAGAAATGTCAATTTGGAAGGGAGAAATGTCAATTTGGAAGGAAGAAATGTCAATTTGGAAGGGAGAAATGTCAATTTGGAAGGAAGAAATGTCAATTTGGAAGGGAGAAATGTCACGTTAGAACTGAAAAATGTCAAGTTAGAAGCGAGAAGGGTTAATTTGGAAGTGAGAAATGACAACCTGAAATCGATAAATTAGATTAAAAACAAGGGTAAAACTTAATGCCCTCTCCGCCACTGCGGGGCATAAAAGAAGAATGGCAATTCCAAATA